TGGAATTGCGAGCGGAATAATCGAATTAACGTTTGACATTGTGTTTCACACCTGTGTACGCTCGATTGTTATATCTCTCATGGACACGAACATTTTCTCTGGTGGTTTACTAACTCCCCATCATGGTGCACGAACAAATTGTGTATCTGATAATCGCGAATAACGTGAGCAATTAACGATTTGCATGCGCGACAATGGTGATTATTAAACGTATTTAACGCGAGACCGATTTAACATCAATGGAATCTTAATCGTATCTGGCAAATTACTTGGTTAATGTAAACGTTCCGTCAAAATATCCCAAACTATGTAGGATATAATATTATTGGATTCTTGATGAGAACATTGTTAGAATATTTTAAGTAAATTTAAATTGATCGAAACGAAAAGTATCAAAACATTTAAGGTATTATAGCTTGAAATATAAGCTATAATAAAAGAAAGAAATAGAATATTCTAATAGAATATAATTAAAAGGAATATAATATTTCAAAAAATATTAAGGAAACTTGAGAAAATTTTCATTTCTATATTATTAGTTTTAAACTAAATAATTCAAGATAGAATTAAACATACAATGTGGTTATTCAAAGTGGTTAGAGAATTATTTTCATGAATGATATTATTTCTCATTAAGAACTCCAACTTGCTATATTAGTATGTATACGCGGTAATTCAAACTTGATGATATCGATTTAATTGTAAACAGCTTCGTATGCGAGATATTAACAAGTTTTATTGTCTGAAGTTTTATTAACTGAACTATTTCTATGGAGAATAATACATGAACAAATAGAAAAGTTTCATTGTAATTTTTAATTAAACGCTCTATTTATTTCTATTAAATCCTAATTGTTCGTATTTAAAATTAAATAAAGAGTAGATAGAATTCTTATCCCAAATTCTATTTTCATGAATATATTTTTATTCCCCGAAGCTTTGGCCATGAAAACAAACCATACTTGAAATTCTTCCAACTTTTCATCGCCATCATCGACACAGTGTTTCCGCGTTTCAGAATGGTTCCTGATTCACGAGGCATGTTTTCGCACGTTCAGTACATGAAAAAGGGATGAAAGTGGGTAATCGTTAACCTAAACTTGTTCGTCATCGTGATAACGAACGTAACCTTCGTAAGTTGATCTTGGTACATGGCGAGGGAAAATAGAGGAGAAAAGGAAAAAGTGTTACGAAGAAAAGAGGAAAGACGAGGAAGACAAGAGTAAGGAAGAGAGGAGAGATCGAGGATAATGTTAAAAAAGTTCTTTATAGACTCAACAGGAATTTTTCACTATCTCATATATCCTCGAGAGTTTATTATTAAGCATCGTTGATGGTATAGGAAATAATTGCTTCGAGATTCCACTATGAATTGTTTGATAATCTGAAGATTCTTAGAAAGAAGTACGAATTTGATAATGAAAATGGAAAGAAACTTCGAATAGCAAACGGAAAAAATTATGAGGAATGTGCAGATTTTTAATATAATAATATTGATAATATTGAAGATATAAGGGATAAAAAATATTAGACGTATAGAAAATCTTTTTTCTGAGGATTTATGACGAAATAACTAAAGGAAAAAAAACATAAGAAGTAAGTTTAAAGATAAGCGTAAAGAAGATTCACGAGATGAAAGAAAGATTCAAAGAATTAAAAGTGCTTGAAAGTACGTAAAATTTTTATGTGACTTTTGCCATCTTTTCATGTACATTCTGATTTTCCATCTTGATTTAGGATTGTCTGATTGATAGTAATACATTTGATTAAAGAAGAATTTCAATAATTATAATAATTAAGAATTATATTCTATATATTTTAATTTCATATAATTTTTCTATAAATTTATTATTAGTCCATTTTTTAAATGATTAAAGAAATTTTATTATTTATTATTATTATTTATTAAGCATGTTATTATATATAAATGGTTTATTAATCCTATTTGAAAGAGGTTATATGAAGAAATTTTGTTCTTCTACAAACATTTAAATTATGCTTGTGAAAAAATTATAAAACGAATAAAAGATTTTATAATTTTATCAAATAATTTTACTCACTAATGAAAACTAAATATTTGATATAATAATTGTTAATATCTAATGAATTTTGTTTTATCATAAAAGATTAACATCAATCTAGAATCATATCATACTTCTTTTATATATTTCAGTTCTCAATAGCGTGCTACTATAATATAATTTTAACAAGTCTAGGGTAGAAATAATATCATAGAAGGGGAATAGTAAGGGATTAATAAGTGTTCTTTGATTATTTAGGGAAAGAAAAATATGTGATCGTAAATCAACAACCTGTTGAAACTTATTTCATAAATCTTAGCGACTATTTAGGTAAATTTTTTTCGAGCAAATAAAAAAAATCATTAGTTTCTTTTTCTTCTCTATTTTGTTTCTATTTCTTTCTCTAGTTTGTCAAAAGTTTGTTCTATGTCTATGAAATTTACGAAAAATGATTAATTTCTTTAAAAAGATAATAAAACTAATCTTTTTAAATTTTTATTTAAATCTTCTAATTAAAATAAGAAGTTGATTATTCTCGATGAAATAACAAATAAGATAAAGTTGTTGGATTTTATACAATCGATAAAAAATAATTTATATAATATAACATCATATCTTCCCGCCCAACAAAATACTAAGTACAATTATAAGCAGAAAGTTTTATTATTATTTATATACGTAGAAGTTTTGAAATAATGTCAATATTGATTGATAGCCTTTCGATTAAGAAGATAAGAACTTATGGTTAAATTTAACATTTGAGACTTCAATTTCGGAACATCTTGATTAATTTATTTCAATATGATTTTATTAATAATTTAAAATACTTTATACTTTATGAAGAAAAAATTTAAGAAGCAATCTTAATTTTTAATTAATCCTTTTTAAATCCTCAACAGTTTTTAATTTTTTAAGTTTATTTTCCTATGCGTCATTATTATTTTAATATAATTTTTGTCAATAATAAAAATTCAAAATAAAATATTTAAAAATTCAAATAAAAAAATTAAGAAATTAAAAAATAAAACATCCAATGTTATTTTTATTCATATAAATAAATTTCAATATATCTATATGAATAATTGCATTAAAGAGAATATGTTTCTTCAAATGCATAAAGCGAATAAAAATTTTTAATTGTGCGACTAATATTTAAATTAAATTTTGAAACCGCGCGCGAAATCGATTTACTTTGGAAGAAACTACTATATAGAAAACTGCTAGTTTCGTTGCCAAAGGTCAATGTCTATGTTACTGTCAACAATACTCAACGATGCAATATGATAGTTCGTTTACACATATATGATCTAGATATCGAATATATATATATATATTTGTAATTAGTAAAGAAAAATCTTTTCTATGAAAGAGCAAAATGTTTACATGACTGAATATACTTCATAACTTCTTATGATTATTTACAAATTTCCTATTATTCTATCATCTTTACATACTGCCTCATTTATTATATATATTATTTCTTTTCGTACTTTGACTAGATATTTTATTGTTTCTTTGAAATTATACATTTTTTCTGATAAAATGATTGGTAAAAAATATTTAAAAATTAAATATAAAATAATAATAAAACAACGATATTCATTAAATAGAAAATTCATAGAGGAAAAAAGGCAATAGGAATAGTTTTAAATAAAGTTAACTCGAAATGAAAGTAGAAAGAACGTGTAAACAAAGAAAAAAAGGGACATTATTTTTCCGACGATAGTACATTCGGAACCTCAGAATTTTATATTTTGCGAAGAAAGAATATCCTATTACAAATTGTTATGCATATATGTTTCTTTAAACTTATATATAGATAGCTAATATTGACTCAAAAGTCAAAAGGATCGTGGCCAAAGAATCAATAGACAACGAATATGCGATCTCGATGTGTCTTATGACACGTTGAGAAAGGAATAAATTCTAAATAGAACCTATCACTTATTTCTTTCGCTTAATTTCAAATGAAAACGTCAAATTTAAACATTCGTTAATATCAAAAAATTTCGTGAAATTCTTTATTACTCACGTTTACCATTCTAATACATCTAATTTATGATATTCTAAATTTGCATTTTTCTATTCACGATTATTATGTTTCAAAAAAAAATCGATATCTACACGTTTATATCGATAAATAACATTTACTTGAGAATTTGTCGCGTATACTTTGAATAACTATATATAGATATTATAAAAACAATCAACATCTACACGTTTATATCGATAACTACCATTTACTTGAGAATCTGTCGCATATACTTTGAATAACTATATATAAATATTGTAAAAACAATCAACATCTACACATTTATTATTATATTATATCGGTAATTAACATTTACTTATTACATATACTTCAAAAAACTATATAGAGATATTATAAAAACAATCGACATCTACACATTTATATCGTATAAGTAACATTTATTTGAGAATCTGTCGCATATACTTTGAATAATTATATAGATATTGTAAAAACAATCGATATCTATATCTTTATATCGATAAGTAACTTGAGAATCTATCACATATATTTCGAATAATTATATATAGATATTGTGAAAACAATCGACATGTGCACGTTTATATCGGTAAGTAACATTTACTTGAGAATCTGTCGCATATACTTCAAATAATTACATAGATATTGTAAAAACAATCGACATCTATACGTTTATATTAATAAGTAATGTTTACTTGAGAATCTGTCGAATAGACTTCAAATAACTATATATAGATATTGTAAAAACAATCAACATCTACACATTTATTATCGATAACTAATATTTACTTGAGAATCTATCGCATATAGTTCGAATAATTACATAGATATTGTAAAGAAAATATTTGAAACCGATAAATATGAACTGTCTTTGAATGTTAAAATATGAAGAATTATTATATTACATGTCACTTTTACAAAATTAAGACATAATTATAGCAAAAATAATAAGAAAAATTATTTACACTCACCATTTCTGCAACATCCTGTCATAGACGCTTTGAAGCGTCCTTTACGTTTCCGGCATCATCCTGAACCGGCGTTGCTTCGCTGAGATGCAAATTGCAATCGTAGAATACTAGAATTGAACAGAAAAGATGTTCTTGTCACAATAAATGCTGACAATCGTTTTGACAATGAATATATGATAGTAAAGCACAATGTTCCAACACTTTTTACAAACACTTAATCCGATAAGCACACGCGTAAGGCGCGAGACCAACTGACTGACTTTCTTGATTTCGGTTCTGGCTCCTGCACTAGCGCCACCTGTTTTACGTGAGCGTTTCACCGATTGTCTGTTCGCTTTAATGCGTGCGCATTGTGTGAATATTTCAATAATTTTTTTTGTTAGTTTCTTTTCTTTTTGAATTTTCTTCCAAATTATTTTCAAAATAATAGTAAACTTTTGTTTACTATTAATATGAATTATTAATATGAAATCAAAATATCATTTATATATGAAATTAAATATAATATCATTTATATATGAAATTTATGTTATTTTTTATGAAATTGAAAATAATATTGTTCAATTCAAATATTGTAATAATTCAAAACTTTAAATAAAATAAAATTGTATGACAATATTTAATATAAAGCCTTAAACTTTAGCTGTTTTTTCCGATAACGATAAATTTTGATAGATAAATTTGGAGATAACAAAGCCTTATCTTTGCATTCATTAGATACAGAAATTAAAACGGTAATAATATAGAATAAAAAATTTGGTAAGAAAGTAAAGCTATAAATACAAAGAGCTTATTGTTGTTTTATGTTTGTAACTAAATTGTCTTAAATATAGAAATAAATAAACGATAATTCAATTATGTAATTTTTTGAAACATAATGTCCTACAGATTATGATGATGACAGATTATAATATTACGAATACGTATTATGAATTAACATAAATAAACATATTTTTTACAATTTTGTACTATAAATAAAAATGTCAATTAAGATTATTAATTTTGAAATATTTGAAAAATTAAAGAAAAGAAAATTATTTAATTTTATTACTTACGTACAATTAATATTAATTTATACAGGCAATATTTTTTATTTAGATCAATTTTATAAAACATATTAAACTTGCTTTTGGACTTAATCGTTATTTGTTCCAAAAAATAATTTATATTCGCATATTTAAAGAAATAATATCAAATAATTTTCATTCAAATTATAAGAAAAAAATATAATTAGCAAAACATGCACTAATATGTACATGAATATAATGATGATATACGAATAAAAATAATTATTTTTACATATAATAATGACATTTATAATTTTACAGTTTTTATTACAATAAGTTATTTTTTATCTAGCATAAAAAATAAACTTTATTAACAATAGAAAAATGACCTTAATATTAAATGCTATTGGAATTGTATTAAAATAAATATAAATGAACATAATAATTTTTTAAAATTGAACGTACAAATATTATATGTTAAAATGTACAAATTGCTATATTAATATATACATTTTCTATATTGTAAGCGTATTCTTTGTATTTCTTTATACATATCATACCAAGTATGTATAAAATAAATTTCATAAACAAAGAATATTATTACGCAATTATCGAGAAATGCACATTTTTAATTAAGGAATTATTTATATATTTTTTAAAACTTATAGTAATATTTCTAAATAATATATTTATAATAAATTCAATTATATATTTAATTTCAAATTATTTCAAATAATATATATACTAATATATTATATGTAATATTTAATAATTTATTCTTGATATTTTTTTTTCACATATGCAACATTTTAAAATAACCAATCACATTCATATGGATATCATTTAAGTATATTTAGTAATTTATAATAAACTTTCATGATATAGATAAATATTATCTCATATAGGTAAATAATTTATGTGAACTAAACACTTATATTTGTACATGTAAATTATAATTCATTGAAATTTTTGAAATTTAAAATAGTTAGTGACTTTTGAAATGAAATTTATAATATTAATATTTATATAATAAAAGAAATATTACCTAAGATCATTTTATATTTACAATTTAACATTTTTACATTGAAAATATAGTATAAATGAATTAAAATTAAATATGTAAAATAAAATTACATAGAAAATTAAATGTAAAATTATAAATATACTAATTTTAAATTATAAATGAAAAAAAAACGATAGAATAATTAAGTTACGTCATATTGTAAAATATAAAATATAGTGCCCACTTAAATTTTACCTATATGAATGTAAATTTTTTTTACTAATTTAAAATATAACTCTATTGAAAAAGTAAAATATCAATTTTTTTTTTTATATATTTCATATGTAGAAAGTATTCCTTAATTTTAATCTGCTTACGAAATGCAAAGCATGTAAAAAAAGTCTTTTGCCGTCCTTCTGTCAGTCTATCAACTTTCCAACAAAAGACATTCATAGACTCTTTCTACATTTGTCATTTGTTATTCATAGACTAATGATATATAACATATGGAAAACACAATAAGAAAACTATATTTGACCAAAAATTGCATTGTTCTCAGAACGTTAAAAATTCTATAAAAAATTGAAATTCCTTCAATTACACAAATTCACAGACTGATTATGAAAGACCATGGCAATTAATCATGATTATTACAACAAATTGTATTAAGCAGTTGATCTTTGTGTGTCATCCATATATTTCCTTATATAAGACATAAAATCTATTAATGCAGTAGACATTGATTTATCTACAACTTTTTGTGGAAGCCAACCCTTTAAATTTGTATTAATAATCCACGTGAATTTACATTTGTTTTCTTCGTTAGGTAATCGTTCTGCTGCCCAACAGCTTAAATTATTTTCAGCCCTAAAAATTTTTTAATATATATAATAATTTTTTATCAATATAATTTTTTTTGTAATCTTACCTGACAACGTTATTACGATTTGGTAATGATGTTAAAGGTACTGATGTACCACTATTTATATAATAGTTACCATAATGAATACGATGTCTTAAAATAACAAAATCACGAGCGCCAATAATACCTCCTCCTTGAGCACTCGTGGCTTGATAAACAATATCCGTATTTTCATCAATGTACTGATTAAAAAATGCATAAAAATATATTAGTTTAATTATGCAAAATTATGTAAAATGAAAAAATATATATTTTACCTGTAATTTTTTTGATTCTGTAACAAGTTTATTCCATGTTGGTAATAATTCAACTTCATCAAATAATCTATTCACAATTATACTAGCTGGAGCTTCAATCATTCCCTTAAAAAATATATCACATAATTTCAAAATAAAAAACAACAAAACAATATATTCTATTTAAACTTACTACTATTTTTAAAATCCTTCCTTCTGGTTTAGGACGATTTATATAAAATATGATATCGCCATTTGTCATTATATTTTGAATTTGCCAATCTTTAGATTGCAATAAATCGTGACAATTTTGCACTAATGCATTTGCTCTCCGTTTATAATCTTCTATCTATAAATATTTATAAAAGATTTTTATAAATTTGTTCATATTTCATTTTTTTAAATATAAAGCATTACACACTTATTTACCATTTCTGATGTAAGTTTTGGTAAAGGTTTAGACGGAAATGCTTCATTCGTTTTTAGAAAACCTCTGGAACTACTTGGTCTTGTATTTTCATCTTCGTGATCAGAATGATCTGGTGAATCCATAGGCGTGAAAAATGTACCAGCATGTTCATTATTCGTATATTGACGAGATTCCGAGGTAACACCCCGAAGAAGTGGTTCTCTTTCATTATCTATGAAATCTAAAATCGATTTAAAGTTTTTATTCATTATGAATATATAATATGAATTCAACATTTTATATATTAAAGTAATAAGTAGCATACTTCTAAACCAATTTCTAGCTTGTGTTTCCTGAGGTAATACACGAATATCAAAAAACCATGCTTCTACCCAAGGTAATACAAAAGAAGTAAGAATAAGAAGAACTTGAAATACTGGTTGGTTACATATTGTCCACTAAATATAAAATAAAATTATATTATATTGCTGTTCTGTACTAATTTTATTTTTATAAATATTTATAACATCAGTACACTTACATCAAAAAGAACACTTTGGCAATTAAAAAAGCACATGTTATGGCAGTTGTTAACTGTAAAAATATTATACAATATTATAATAAATAAAATATGATATATCATTATTTTATAATTTTATAATAACATTCTCATTGCTTACCAAATTATGACACTTACAGCTACAATAATCCAATGATCCAAATGAAGCAGCGCATAGAAGAGCAACAACACTGTAAACCTGCAAATCGCTGCCATCTGAGAAGATGAAATCCTTAAAATCTCTGTCCCCGACGAACTGAATGTCATTTTGGACATTGTTTTTTCTTTTTCGAGTAGATATAAAGTATTATTATATAAACACTACTTACTACTATATCGAAGAGTGAAGTTTTGATATGATAATGGACTATTTGATTCATGAAAGCAGATTCCAAACTCTCGCCAGCAATCTAAAAATACGTTCCAAAATTGATTAAAATTATCATGTAAATTTCATTTATTCATATGATTAAGAAAATGCGTAAAAAAAAAAATGCATAAAGATTTCATTTCTTCAGTCTTTAATTAAATGTTATAACATATGCGATTTACCATTGTGCAAATAAGCCACATTAAAAAAGTAAGCAGAAGATCGAAGGTGACAAAAAGACAAAAGAAACGTCTAACATTGGACATCCTTCCATTTTGCATAGCACCCGCGATAAGATCCTCGCTAAGAATAATATCTGGAGTTCGGGTTACATTCTGTTGAGTATATATACTTCTTTGAGAATTTATAGATTCATTTAGCAAAGTTTCGGCAGCTGCTAAAATTTGCCTCTCATCTTCTGCCATTATATCTTTCTATTACTGTATCTTTTGATATCCGCAATGATAACCTGCAAATAATAATTTAATTATCATTATTAATGAGGAACAATATTACATTAAATTAATATTTCTATACGAAAATTATGAAAATTTGAATAAAAATCTTATTGTATGTGCTAATATTTTCTAATATTTTATTATTAGACTACTATTAATTTATATAATGAAAAATTGATATTAAAGCTCTATAATAAGATTACTGATATAATAATTTCTGATTAATGTAAAATTAAAGATAAATTTTTAGAAAATTGTATTATTTACATAATATTTATATGATTTTTATATATAATTAATTTATAAATAACATAATATGAATAAAACTATTATGATGAAATAGATGTATATCGATTTCGGAATAAAATCGATAACATACTTCGAAAACTTTATATAATATGATCAATAAAATTTG